GGCTGTTGACACTGATTGAAGGAAGGAGACGTGGCTTTTTCAAAAAAGAGAATTAATTAGCTTGGTGAGGAAGGTAACACAATTCAAACCTACAGTTCTCACAGCTGCAAAACAGAAGTGAACTGTCAAAGAGTGTTTTCATCTCTTTTCTTCCCCACGTTTTTCTCCTTTTGATAACATCTTTTCCTAGATTTAACACATTTAAAATGGGCCCACCAAAGAAAGGGGGGAGGCTGAGGAACCTTCAAAAGGAAAAGAAAAATATGTAGCTCTTAGGAGCTGCAGCAAAAACACTGCAAATGTATGTATTTATTTGCATGTGTTAAAGCAATGTTTAAGAAAGACTCAGACAGATTAAGCTAGGCCAAATCTTTTTATTCCATTCAAGTTGTATTAAACCAGTAACAAACATCAGAAATCTTGCTGCTGGTATGGCAGCCAGAAAAGAAAAGAATCTAGGTAAGTTGACATGTTCTGGTTTGCCTGGTTCCTTCTAGTGGAGGCAGATTGTGAGATTAATAGAAATCTGCTATTCTACCCACAAGAGATAGAATATGAACTGCAACCAATATATGGGGCCTTTTCACCCATAGGTAGAAAAGAGGGGCTCAACAAGAATTAGGAGGTAGAAGTCAAGTGGCTTCTATTACCTCTAATAAACCACATGGAAAACTTATGTTTCTCATTTTTATAACAACTTGAAATGCTGTTTGTCTACAAGTTTTAGTTTCCAAAGGAAGATCATCATCACCAAGGAAAGTAACAAAGGTTCGTTTGAGGAAGGAATCGAAGCTGTCACCTGGTCACTTTTTCTTTTTTTCCACTGAAGCCCAAAGCAACAGGCAAAGGAGAGGATTGCTATAGTTTCTGGGCAAACTGATCTGAGCTATCAAGAGAAAACAGAGTTCCTGCTACATCATGAGAATAAAGAATATTTGAAACTCAAGGCTTTCCCCAGGAGCATTCTTATTACTTATGTATCCAGAGATAAGTTAATAAAGGCAGTACTACCAATGTGGGCAGGAGAAGAATCAGACTACAGGAATGGTTTGTGTCATTCGACAAGCAAGACCCATGACCACCTGAGGAGCTGGCAGAAGGTAGAGGTAAAGAGAATAAAGAGTGTAAAGATGTTATAAATACCAGAAGTGCTCTGATGAGCAGTTCTTAAAATGAGGACTGTAACAACTCTTACATTGTTATGAATATATTAGTATATTAACATTAGTAAACTGATTTTATTATCAACAACAAATCCCCCATTCTTTTCATTTTATGTAAGAGCTATGGTTAACTTAAGTTTTGGTTTTAGGTTAAAAGATATCAAAGTTGAATTATGACCAAAGTAGAGATGGATGTGGTAATTTAAAGGACATTGCTTCCCTGGGGAAAGAATGATCTTACGGTCATTTGTATGAGGGACAGTCATATTGGCTGTATTTGTCTTTTCTGTTGTGGCAACAAATGCCTGAAAATGGGTACTTTATAAGAAAAAGAAGTTTAACTGGCTCACTGCTTTGGAAGTTCAGTGTCCCGGCAAGGGCTCCCTGGCTAGGTCACAAAAAGATGAAGAAATGTGAAGTAAACTGGCCAGAAGAAGGGATCACACGGTGAGACAGGAAGCCAGAGATTCAAGGGTAAGGCCCATTCTTTTTTATAACAAACCCTCCTCCAGGTAACTCACTGAAGTCTCACGACAGCATCATGCTTTCTGGGTGTGGCACCCACAATGATCTAATCATCTCACACTAGGTCCAACCTTTTAAACGTTGCACCATAACATTATCACACTGGGGACCAAAACTCTAGCATATGAACATTTGAGGGACACACACCATAGCATCTTTGAAGGCAGAGTTAACTCTAATTTTTGTCTGGAAGTTAAATGTTAACCATTCAATAGCCCAACCAGAGAGGTGAACTTGTTGATAATTCAGTCTTATTTTTCCCATCTAATCTCTCCCCTGTATCAGAGGGTTTGGATTCTGCATTTACCATAATCTTTGTCAGCAGAGCTCTAGGATAGATTCCTCTTAATTGTAAATACTTGTAAGGTTTAGAAGGGAAAAATGAAGCAGAAGCCATATGATTGCTGCTCTAGCACTAGCAAAGTGCACATGGCTTTTTCCAGATGTGTTATCTTACAGCAGCTTTCCCTTGTATTCTGTGACAACTTCTCTGAGTAGCTGAACCAGTCCCAATCTGCCTATCTCCTGTATAAAAAAAATACACTGTTAGGTTAAGTGATGCAGGTTGGGTTTTTATTGCATGCAGTTAAACATAATCCTAATAAATTTGTGTAAAAGGGTTGATGGTTTTCAGTTTCTGACAAAACTACATGTGCAGACATAGCTGCAGAGACAAATTTTTCTCAAAATAAAATTTGAACATTATAGCACTGATTCTTGTTTGGGAGATATTAAGCAACCTCGTGGATAATGGATAATACATTAAATTCTACTTGCACCAAAGACAATGAATCACCAAAACTGAGAACTATTATAAAATGTCCTTGTATAACATTTGAAGGTTTATTATCAAAGTATAATTCAGGGATGGCATTTATCCAGGTGGATGATATAATTTAAATGCGTGCTGGCCCAGATTTTGGAGAAACTAAGAAACAGTTAACACATACATTAAATATTCTAGAAATTACAGCCACTTATGCAAATAATTGACAGACTTTATCATTTAATTACCTTATGTAATACTGTATATTTGATAGTGTTGATTAACCTGAAAGTTGTATGGTTCAGATACCAGGAAAAATGGGTATGCTTTGATCTAAACATTGCCAGGTTCTAGGGTTTGTTTTCTTGGGGCCAGGATTTAGCTCAGTGGTTCCGCCTCCTGCCTCGCAAGTGCAAGATCCTGAGTTCGATTGCTGGTACCAAAAAAAAAAAAAAAAAATATTTGTGAATCACATATCTGATAAAAGGGCTAGTATCTAGACTACGTAAAAAAAAAAAAAAAAAAAGTGTCTGGTTTTGTTTTCTTGCTTGTCGTACAGAACGCATCATAATCTCTTAGATAGGAAATAAAGTATGGATTCAGATGTGTCAACATAGTAAGAAGACAAGTCCAGGACTTGCTGATGACACTTAGCATATAGAGACCTACACCAAACGGGGATACAGAGAGCAAAGGAAGATGGTGTGGCCTTCTTAATGAGATTTTAGAGGTAGCACAGTGCAGTGATTAAGAAGTATGGATTCTAGAATCAGTCTTCAAGGGTTCAAATCCTAGCTCTAACATATATGAATAGCTGAGGCAAGTTGGGTAGCGCTTCTCTGCCTCATTTTTCTTATGTGTAAACAATGGGGCTAATTCTCTTATGTCAGTAATTTGTCATGAGGGTTAAATAAGTTGTTGTCAATGCTTCACACGTGGTAAATATATTTATTATTACTATGTCATTCCATTCAATTGTTAGAAAAAAGGCATCATTTTAACAATGTTAAAGATTTTAGGAAACTGATACAGATATATAGCTTTCATGAAACAAGTGTTTATGCAGTAAATGCCATTCAAAGCTATTATAGGAAATAATAAATTCCAGTAATTATAATCATAAGCTTACTTGGCTTTAGAATACATTTGTGCATCATGGAGTCATATGTAATAACAAAGCCATATGCTAGTTCCTGGAAGTGCTGATTAAGGAACAATCGGGCATTAAAATAACTTAATTCTAATGATGAGATGATTTTATTAGTTTCCAGATAAAGAACATGACTGAAAAGCTTTATTAACAAATACATATCTGGATGTGGTTGTTTTTCTTTTTAAAGAGAATTTTTGACATGAGCACATGATTCATTGATTGGCACTCATTTTTAATGTTTCTTGAAATGCTGAATGTAAGATAGGGGACAAAGAAACTAGATCTTTGCTGACATCCAGCTACAAGCTTATGAGGGGCATTTTGGGTGGTGAAACCATGGCATTATCTGCAGTTGTTGCTGACCAGGATCATAGGGTAGCGTGTGGAAGTCTATTCCACTCATGAGTTGATACAATTTGCTAAGGAGTTGAACCAAACCATAATTTAATCTCCCAAAGGGTTCTTCACCTTTTTGGGGGCTTGTAGTTCCTAACATTTTGGAGCTCAACATGCCTATGACGTAAAAGTGAAGGGGAAGCTGGGCGTAGCAGCACACACTTGTAATACCAGTGCTCAGGAGATTGAGGCAGGAGGATCACCATAAGTTCAAGGCCAGCCTGGGCTACATAGTGAGTTCAAGGTGAGCCTGCACTACATAGCAAGACCCTATCCAAAAATAAAAAGTGAAGGGGCTTCAAAAGCTAAGACTATTCCAGTTTGCAATCACAGGCCCAGGGCTACTTAAGAACATCTGGCATCATCCTTCTAATAAAAGTGCACTGCAAGTTTTAAAGAAATGAATTTTAATTGTTATATTTAGTGCAAAAGTCTTTGTTTTTTCTCTTTGCATTCTATACATGGGGGCTACTGCATGAGATGATTAAAAATAGACTGGGTGTGGTGAAGTGCTTTCAGAGTGGTTTTGTATTAAGGTTTATGTAAAAACAGCATATTAAAATAGACAAAGACAGCTGGCCACTGCAGCCTTATGAAAGTCAGTGTGGCAAAGAGGTTTGGAAAGATTTTGCAGAAAGTTACATGGACCACTAGAACTTCCAAATGTAGGCTAATCCGCTTGAAGTTTCCGGAGCAGAAACAGACTATAGTCTGAGAAGTAACCTTTTATTGATCCAGCTGTGAGGCACTGGGAAGACAGGCTGCTAACAATGGTTTGTAGTAAAATGTTCCACCACTATACAAGGTAAAAAATGGAGAGCTTTAAAACTGCACACAGGCATCTGAAAGGTAATGGTGATTGGAACACCTGCAGGAAATTTATCACTTTTATTAAGAAACAATGATTGTACAATCCAAGATGAAAACCAGATGTCTGCTGAGTTGTTTCAGAAGGTAAAAAATGGTTCTTTATAAGAAATGATGGTGAAAAGACTCATTCAATTTGGCAAAACATTTTATTCACAAAATCTCCATTTTCTTCTTAACTGTTCAAATAACTCATAAGGCTGGAAGCCGATGTTGGATATTTACACAGCTCAAGTCTGAATACTCACTAATGTCTTTTGGCTGTTCTACATACTTGGCTGCTACCTCTCGTCCTCCCCTGATCTTTGTTCTTAAAAATGTAATACTTAATGAAGAGCTCAGAGGCTGAATACATAAAATCCTCACTACCCCCCTCTACACATAATTTGTTAGGAGACTGCACTTATAAAATCATCATCTTTTTTTGGAAGATGAAGCCATTCTCTGGAAGGAAAGCAAGCAGCATAGAAATGACTTGCAATTGTGACACAAAAAGACGTTTTTAGGGACTGGGGAAGAATCACCACCACCTTTGGTTAACAGGAATGTTCTTTACATCTCAAAAGATGTAAATAATTCAATGTGCCAAAGGAATCATGACTTTTCTTCAGTATGGGCCTCATTTTTTGTCAGGGAGAACGAGTGTTCTTTTCTCTCCTAGCTCTGGTTCCCTTGCAGCTTCCCTTTTGCTAAGATGGGTAGCAGGCAGCAGTTTAAGTAGGTAAAGTTCAGGGGAGGTGCTGCAGGTTGATAACTGAGCATAGACAAACACAGTGCTTTCCAGGCAGCAGCCGATACACATTAACACCACCAGCTACGGGCATGTGAGGGTGGGGCTGGTCACCTTAGCCACTTCAGAAACTCTTAGGAATCTTTAATGCTTTGATTGGCATCTCTTTATACTTTCTTCCTGAGCACCAGATACATAAGGTGCTAAATATATAATGCTCTTCCCTCCTACCACCAGGCAATCAAGAGAGCAAAAACCTGGATAGTACCTGGCATACCATACCAATCCCCCCAAATTCCTCCACTCCTTCTCTTGCTCAGAACCTCTGGCATGTTTCCCCTTACTACCTTTCTTGCCAGCCAGCTGATGAGGAATGGGCACAGTATCAGGAACCATTAAAAGGTTTCTCAGAAACTTGAGGGAGGAAGAGATCTTGGCAAGCATTCATTTATTCACGTAACACAGGTCAGACACTATGCCAGGGGCTGGTGATACAGAAATGAATTAGATATGACTGATCCCTGGGGCTCTTCCCATCTCTGGAATATCTGCACTGAGGAAGCTGTGGGAAGAAAGAACACACTACCAAGCCAAGAGGCTAGTCTCTGGGAACACTTGAACATATTCCAAGACTTAGGACTAGTTCTTTATTTACAAATATGGATTACACCTATTTTCAAATGTCACACCAACCAATAGTAACAGAACAGTAAATGGGTTGTACCTGTACCTACAGTTCTTTTCATCTAAGTGTGAACTGCCACTAATAAGATTCAGTCACTTTTTTGCTGGGGGGTACCAGGGATCGAACTTGGGAACTTGTGCTTGCAAGGCAGGTGGCGGAACCACTGAGTTAAATCCCTGGCCCCATCAGTCACATTTTTCAGAAGAAAGCTACCAAGACCAAAATGGTTTGCTTATCTAATAGGGACAGAATTAATCATAATTTTATATATTCCAAGCCAAAGAGAGGACAAAATACAACAAATGTAAGATCTTGGTTTCAGATCTCTACAATGTCATTTTTCTCCTTTGAGTTTGTGTATCTGCACAAGTCAGTGCCAACTGGTCCCCTGATGAACATGTCCAGCACCCAGAGCTCAGAATTGCTCCTAATGTTTTGTACTTGCCCTCCCTATTGGTTATCCGGCAGTGCTAAGTGAGGCCAGCTAAAGTCTGAGTTAAAAAGCTCCACATAAGAAAACTACTGTTTCGCAAATATAGAAGGGAATGGTGGACCTCTGAGCTGTAATAGAATATACCAACATTTCCATACTAACCTTTCATGTTCACACTCATCTATACATATATTCATGTACTCTGCCAGATTTTCACCCATACAGATGCATACCCTTAACATCAATGGTTATAAAATTGTGTAACAAAATACATGCTGCACAGATATAAATACCCTGTAAAAATCCACAAAACTTTCCAGAGGCCCCAAGGAATAGAGACATAAAGGGATCTGAAATGATAGGCATTGCTTGGTGAAAAACGCCACGCAAGAGTGGAGGCTACGGTGAAGAAATGGAAGTGCAAGTAAGGAAGTGAAGAAGTGGGGGGTGGAGGTTGCTCAGGAAACACCTACAAGATATTTATTAGAGTCCTTAAAAATATCATGTATTGTTCCCAGAACAGAAGAGGTGGGTTATGGCTGGAACAAATCAACTCAGCTTTCATGGTTTTCCTCTGCTTCTAGTACTGACCAAATTAAAGTCCTACAACATTCATTTTCCTCATCCGAGCAGGAAGAAGGAAAAAGGAAAACAACAAAACCATCAACTCTTTGGATTGTGGAATTTGACATAAACTCACCAAGTGTATTAATGGTGGTTTTAGCTGGGTGAAAAAAAAAATGAAAACTATCTGTGAGACCCTGGGTTCTATCTTCAATACTGATTTTTTTTAAAGCACTGAATCAAATAAAAAAATAAATTACTGATAAAATGAAAAGAACATTATAAAATTTTTCATAAAGACTATGTAGGTATTAATATAATTCAAACTTTCACCATTTTTTCCTGCCTTATCTGCTGTACCAGCCAAGGTGTTAAGTAGACACACAGGAGCACACACACATGTTCTGCTAGTGTCCTTTGTGATCCGAGTTTTGCTCTAGGGCAGATGTCTTAAATACTAAACTCTTTATAAACAAACTGTATGCTTTCTATCTCTGAAGCACAAAACCCATGGTGTTGACCCAGAGAAACAGGAAAGGCAATTAATAGTTCTCCTCCATTGAGCTGTAAATTAGATCCTCTGTAAAATGGTTTATTTGCCATTCTAAAAAATAAGAGTTAGAAAAACATTCAACCTGAATTGAAAAATCAGTTAACAAAGGGGAGTAAATTTTTTTAAAGAGTGGTTTAAAAAGTATTCATTGATGTCCATTAAACATACTTTCTTACAGGTAACAACTTGAGATAAAAACAACTCGAAGAGTGTTTCAAGTCATCTGCACCTATGAGTGCTCATTTTGTTGTATGAGTGCTCTAATCTATATTACCTCTCCATACATATCCATTATTAATAAGACTGGGAGAGATGTTCACTCTGAGAGAAACCAGTCTAAAACCAGAATCTAAAACCTGATGGGCCTAGTTAAATCCTGACTGTACATTAACCCATCTCAAATAACTATAAATTGTAGTATTTCCCATCAACATAAAAAGGGTGGTACTATGTTAGGTAAGGCTATATCCCATTAAGAGTTACCAGAGACTCTAGATCTGTGGCAATCAAATAGCCCCAAAGGACAGATTCTTCTATTACACAGCAAGAAAAAAGTAGTTTTTGTTGTTTTCTTTTTTAAGAGGATAGTTAACACTTGATATTTATGGCCCCATCAATCCAAAGAACTCCACATCTTTCAAAGCAAGTAGCTTTTGAGTCCATGAATGGGTTCACATCTAATTCAGCATCTTTGAGAATAGACCATTACCTGGAAGGTGTCAGTGTCCAGAATAACAAATTCGTTTCCAAACCCAGGGATTTAGGCAGAGAAACAGCATCCACATTTTACGTAACAAAAGAAGTGCAACTGTTTGAATGTTTTCCCCAAGCAGTCCAGTCGTTAAGGACGTTTCTGCTCACTGCCCCTGCTCAGACCCATGAGAGACTATCTAACCAGTGAAATACAGCCAGGAGCAAGTCTAGGAGACCCAGAGAGCCATATCTCATTCCCAGCATTAAATGAAAGGCCTTTGTCTATGGGAAAAAGAGAAGTGGCCAGTGACTTTAATGAGGGACTGGGACTAAGTAAAGAAAGAACAAATAAAATTTGTTCAATTTCCACTCCCTTCGATTGCACACAAACTACACATTCTGGACACTCTACTGATTTCATTCCTCTTTAGCACCATAATCCCTTCCAAGGAAAAACAGACCTAAGAAATGATTAGTAAAAGAGAAGTGTGTTTCTAGATAATAGAGCATAGATAATAATAGATAATAAATAATAAAGCACATACAACTTTCCCAAATATCCAACATGACCATTAAAGATACCTTATAGAAGAAAAAGAGTAACTTTCAACTGTATTTGTGATCTGATCTGATATAGACACCACACCCACAGCTACTATATATTTTATCTATTCACCTGGCTGGTGGTAACTCTCATAATTACCAAGCAGAGCTAATTCTCCTGGCTCTGAAGCCTTTCGCAGACTGACCCTGCCACTCTGGCTGGGCCTACAGGAGAAGCTGTGAGGCTCTCAGGGTGCTGTACAGTAGCGCCAGATGTACTGGGCCAGGCTGCTGTCCCCATATTAGTGACAGGTTAATGGGCTTCATATGCAAGACTAAGGAAAAAGCCTCTTCCCAATCCATAAAAAACCTTTCTCTTTTACTAGCATTATGCCACAAGATGCTACAGAATTGCTGTAAGCACAGAAAACAGATGGGAAAAGACTGATTTGTGTGTGTGTGTGGGTGAAATATGAGAAAGAGGGGTCAACCAGTCTACTCCAGTGTCACCAGGGCTCCGCTCATGGGGACAACTACTTCTTTCCCAAAATACCCTGATGTTCCTGAGGTCTCAGCTCACTCACTACTCTACTTTTCAGTAGATGATGGTACCTGGAGTGCCTGATGGACTGCAAAGTGCTGCTGAGGAGTGGAGGGAGGACAAGAGGAAAAAGGGATATGGACACAGGATGGTTCTAACAGTGATGGTAGAGAAGCATCAGGACAGCAACAAAAGCATGATCTTGTCCGAGACCACAGATATAAAACTAGTAACTCAAAACAAAACAAAACAAAAACAAAAACAAAAAACTAGTAACTCTGGGCTCTGGAATTCAACAAACAAGTATAGTTCTGAATATTCTGGTAAACAAAACAAAAACAGCAAATCAATGGGCTGCTTGAAGGTATAGAACTATTCTCTTTTTCTATTTTAGGGCTGAGGGTTATCTATTTGGAATCTACAAACTTTGTTCAGATAGCCTTCTCTGGGACATGTCAGTTCTACACTGGGGGTACTTTGGCATTACCCAAAGTGAAATGGCCAGACCTCGGCTAGAGGACCCTCTCCCCCAACACTGGTCAGTGTGGTCCAGGCAGACCTCAGTTCTTCTTGTCATCCTTCTGCAGCTGACTTCTTGTGGTTCCTATGTTGTTCCACACCTCTGTGTACATTAAGGTCCCAATGAAGACAAACAGGGTACCCAACCAGTGCCACGGAGTGAAAGGGTTCTGGAAGTATAAGATGGAAAAGATGAGGCTCACAAACTTGCGTAGAGTCACGACGAGTGTGACAGTGAGGGAAGCACATTCTGTCGTGAGGATGAACACACCCCGGATGCACACATACCTAGAGAAGTGGAGTTAAGGTAGTTTTCTGTAAGCTGTACTTGGGAGGTCAGTGGGGGCAACTTCTGGTGTGGTTCTTGGCTTAAATTTTCACATTCTACAAAAACATGAGGGTCTACTATGGGTGCTCTGAGGTGCCTCCTCACTAGAACATTCTGCAGAACTATCCTGCCATCCCATTTACAGATCCCAATTTGAAGCTACCTAAAAACATCCCGTATCTTTATTTTGGATTCTTTTTTATGATTACAACAAAGGTCACCTCTGATATAATGATAATAAGATCTCATTCACCTTTATTTTGTCTTGTCCTCGGCTCCTTTGCCCCCTCCTACTAAAAGAATTTTTTGGCAAATCCTTAAGATGATTTTTAAAGGAATGAGGTTAGTATCACTGTTTCTCCATGTAAGAGACATACAATGAACTTCAGGCTATTCAAATTATTTGTTTAATAAATTAAGTCTCTGTTAATTTGAGATTTCTTTCAGAACTTTGTGGCAGCTTGTGCCAATTGGAAATATACTTGAATACTGGAAAACCTCAGGTAAAAATCACAGATCATTGGTGTCATATACTAGTTTTTAACCAATCAGTGGGCTCCTCCATTTTCACTTGGAGCATTTCTTCCCGGCTGCTCTGTGACTTACTGACCTACTGTACCTAACCAGTCTCTTTTGCATTCTGCAAAGAAGCTTTCTCGAGGATATCTGTCTCCCACTGACTGCAGAAAAAAAATCAAGGCAAAAATCGGACTCATTTCCTCACACTATTAGAAGAAAAGAATAAACATTCCTATGTCAAAATAACAGGGTAGAAGACATAAATATGATAAAGGGGTCCAAAGGATACTGCGTGACAACATTCATGAACAGGTAGAACCACATGATGGGGGCTGTCACACCAATCACCGGAAGTTGATATCGTTCTGCAAAGATTGAGAGGACATTGTTATATTGCGTCACCACCACCACCACCACCACCACCACCATCATCACAGGGCTGGGGATGAAACCCAGGGCCTTGTCCATGCTAGCCAAGCCACCTTCTAAGCCCCAATGTCACATTTTGACAGCTAAACTTGGTGCCTATCTAACCAGTAACAAGGAAGTAAGACCTGTCATCGCACTGCTCCAGCTTTGCTTGGTGCCCAGGCAGCCTGGATCTGTGAGCAGCTCTGCCTCCCATGGCAGAAAAGGATGAACTGAACCAAGGAGAGCTGGACTGCTGCCCTATTTCACAGGGCTCTAGTCCCTGTCGTGTGTGCAGCTACTATTTACTTGCATTCTCAAAACATTTAACATTGCATGTTCAAATCCAAACACACAAATTCCAAAGCAAAAGAGAAAATTTGAAAATATTCTTTTACTTGATTTGCAAATAAAGGAAAAGTGCCTGTGAAAGCTTTTGCTGTTGCATCTACTCATTAATGACACTATCCCTATTCCTGGAAGGCAGACTTTGAAGGAGGGACAGGATATTTAGATAAGAATGTGAAAAAAACTTTGACCAAGTTAAAAGTAAAACTGAAGGTCTGATTTAGAAACTGGCAGGTAGTTCTATCATATAATTCTAAACTCACCAGACTTATTGAATAGAACTGCATGGTCATAAATATCAGAAGCCAAGAAGATGAAACCAGGAAGTGGAAGGGCATGCTGTGGGAAGAAACCGTATGCAAAACATTACAGAATTATTACAGCAGTTTTACAATGACTAAAAGTTATATAAATTGTTTAATAAGTGATACAAAGAAAAGGAAGTTAGAGTTACTAAGTTAAATGTGTCTCATGCCCCTGTATACGTGACATTATATGGCATGATATCAACCCTAAAGTATGGTTCTTGTCTTTGTAAGTCTGATGGCCACCACACACAAATCAAAGCAAAGTATCACAGACAAAGCAAAGCAAAGCATCCTTTCCTCAAGAAAAAGGAACAGGAAACTTAAATACATAGTCATTCTGTCAAAAAGGATTTGCTATCTTTTATTATTTCTGAGACAGGTTAAACAAAGATAATGGACTTTAAAATTACAAAGAAAGCAGAGGCAGATTTCAAGAAAATTTAAAAAGCTAGTAGGAAAGAGATATGAGGACAATACAAGGCCAGGGAAAAAGAAATGAAGACAAGACTCAGAACAACTTGAAAAGGAAAAAGACAAATATATAAGACTGAGATGCATGACAAAAACCACTCACCCCCTACACCACCTCAATAGTAACAATGAGGGGCTGGGGATTTAGCTCAGTGGCACCGTCCCTGCCTTCCAAGTGCAAGGTCTGAGTTTGATCTCTAGTAATACAAAAAAAAAAGTAACAATGTGTCACAGTTAATACTGAGCAGTTACTATGAGCCTGGTATTGTTCTAAATAAAATATTGAAACCTAATAAAATGTTTACTTTAAAAAATTCCCAGCCACATACTATAGCTCCAATTAAATCTCTCAGACTGCTTATTTGCAACTGTAGTACAAAAAGTCAACAGTAATGGAATCCCTGGGGGAACTGCGCATCGAGGCAACTACCTCACTCTGAACTTTAGTTAGGTTCTGGTATATTCAATGGCAAAGAGAGAGGAGACAGAGGAAAGTTAGAGGAAATGGTGCTAGATGAGCAGCTGAAAACAAAGCTCAGGGCCGGGGATTTAGCTCAGTGGTTTCGCCGCCTGCTGCGCAAGCGCAAGGACAAAAGTTCAATCCTCCGTACTAAAAAAAAAAGAAAAGAAAAGAAAACAAAGCTCATATAATTAATTACATTCTCTCAAACGAATAAAGCTTATCTGGGAGACTTACGCCTCTTGACCCCGACCTCCCCAAACTATCCAACAGCCATCTGTCTGTACACATACCCTCGGCCTATTGCTTTTGGGATTCATTTTTCCCTTGCAGGTTTCCTGATTTCATCTACAAGGAAGATGCAGGTTAGGGTTCTTTGACCCTTGGGGTTGCTCCTGGTTAACAGACATTTTATTCATATTGGTTGATGATGATCACCTCCTATAGGCAACTGTCTCTGATTGCACATTAGCACCCTATCAAAGGTATGTCAGTCTGTGGGTCTCAAGCTGTTTACTGACAACAAACTGATCCTTCAACTACATCAGAAATTCACTGGAAATAACATATTACAATGCAGGATTTTTCAACTTCCCCAGATTCAAGAAGTTGCTTACATTATAAAATAAAGCCTCCTTAGAATGCTTCCCAAATTGCTTGTATAGAGTCTCTTGGAATATACCCATCCTTGCTGACATCAGAAGAGCAAAAGTCAGTGCACCAATGCCTATAAAACAAATATCAAGTTACAAGGTGCCTGCACTTACTAATTTCTAGACATTTTCTTAAAGAACACTTATTATTTACTTTTATAAATATAATTCACTATAGAACATATTTGAAATTTTAAAAATAAATAAAAATCGCTACAATTCCACCATTCAGCCCTTTATAGTTTTCTACATTTATGTACATATTTCTATACTAATGATCATATTTTATACATAATTTTATATCTTGCTTTTCTTATGTTTTCCTGCATTTTTCCTTCAATAAATTTTTTTTAAAATGTGAATGACTGCATATTATTCTTATCATGTGGCTGTGACATACTTAAATGTCTTACAATCAGAATGGTTAGATTATCTCATCATTAAAATATATATTCTTGTACACAAATCTCTAAACAAAATGTTAATTATTTCCTTAGGATATAATCTTATAAATGGAATTACTGGGTCCAAGGTTGTAGACATTTTATTTTATTTTACTTTATTTAATTTTTTTTTGGTACCAGGGATGGAACTCGGGACCTTGTGCTTGCGAGGCAGGTGGCAGAACCACTGAGCTAAATCCTCAGTCTGGTGGTAGACATTTTAAAAACTCAATATACAATATTTTTCTAGGAAGGCTGTGTCAATGTATACTTCCAATGGTTGATACAAAAATGGCTGTCTTACTGCATCCTCAGCAGCAATGAGAATAATCATTTATCATTTTACCAAAATGATAGGCCAAAAATAAAGAAATATTGTATTTTGGGTTTAATTTGCGTTTCTTTGATGCCTAGTGCAGGTGAATGTAGAATTATTAGATTGCAATATTTTTCTCCATGAATTATATGCTTATAATCTTTGGAAATTTTTCTCCTTAGGTTAAAGTATTTTTCTAATAGCTCATAAAGATCTTTGCATGTTAAAAACAGCATTCTACAAAGCCAAGAAGTAAGGAGAACATAGTTCTTTCATTGCTGTCTCTCTCGCACTTGGTCAGTGTCAATCTGTTCTTGTTATTACTGAAAGCATTAGGAAGAGACTCCTCTCCAAATCATACAGGGTGAGAAGAAGCCTCTACAGAAATTGTCTACTTAATTCCACACAGAGATACTTATATTTTAAAAAATTCCCCAGGAGATTCTGATGATCAAATAGATTTGGAAACACTGTCATACAGAACAGCTAACCTACAAAGAAACTAAATCTAAGATTTAGAAATGGGCCCTTTGGAAATTTAAACAGCCAGTGGCTCTAATGTGCCCTTCCTTTGCAGAATGCTTCCACTTAGTAAAGGTAATGAAGGAATGGAGAAGACCCCATGCACTGCTTTTAAAGAGTGTGATGGGCAAGGAGACACACACTTTTCTTTCTATGCCAATGGTGACAAAGAAAAACATGGATCCACTTCCTGAGCTGTGGACATTTTCTTTTCTCATTTCTTGAACACTACAGTTCCAAGATATATGATCCCAGGTGCCCTTTTCTTCCATGGCATAATTTGTTTAGCTGAAGTTTCTTGCCAAGAAACATCTCCCTTAGGAGAAAACCAAGCAAACACAACTGCCGAGGCAGTTAGCTTTATTATAATTACTGTACTTGCCTAGTAACCACCATGCAAATGCCTGGAATCCATCATTCTCACTCGCGCTGGACTGGGAAGTCTAGGAAATAAGAAAATATACTAGGTACAAAGACCAGAACTACATGAAATGTGCTGAGATACAAGAGAAATATTTATGTTATCCATTTCCCTCTACTCTTCTCCTTCAGAGATCTGAGTCCTTCTACAGTATTACATGAGCATTTTGATTTGTTTTATTATTAATAAGTGCCCGATAACTGGGCCTTAATGGCAATTAGTGAATATAAATGATTTGTGAGCTGATTCTTACCACTTGCTTTGCTGACATGAAAGTGCAAATAAATATCCCTACAGACACCAGGCCAATGGAGGTATATTTGAATATACTATATCTGCAAAAAAAGAACAAAAACATTTTAGCAAAACACAGATACACATTTCCAAATGATAGTTATAGTCAGATATAAATCACTACAACGTGACCAAGGCACTAACTTCTTAGAGTCCACACAGCCATGTACATGAAGGAAACAGGACCCTGATTAGTTTCGAAACATCTTTCCTTGGGGTTGGTTAAAATAGTTTCTTTTAACAGAAAACAAAAATAGAAAGAGATATGGACCAGAAATGACACTGCACTGTACACTCAAGAATCCAAATGCGAGCCTAGCCCAGTCTTAACTGGTATTTACAGCTTTTCTTGTCTCAAGGGGGCTCAACCCTGAGTCATAAGACACCCACCACTCAAGAAGCAAAGATTGCGAGGTACAGAAGCAGAATTCAATAGTCAGGAAATTATTAAATTGCCCATTCTCTGGAGAAGATATTTTTTTAAAAAAATTCTCTGACAGCATTCTTCACAGAACTAGAGAAAACAATCCTAAAACTCATATAGAAACAGAAGAGACCCAAAATAGCAAAAGCAATTTTGGGCAGTAAGAACAAAGCAGGAGGCATCATATTACCTGACTTCAAGCTATACTGCAAAGCAACAGTGATAAAAACAGTATAGTACTGGCACAAAAATAGGCATGTGGATCAATGGAACAGAAGAGAGGATCCAGTAAGATCCCTTGACATATTCAGCTATTTGGTCTTTGACAAAGAAGCCAAAAACATACACTGGAGGAAACATTGCCCATTTGACAAATGGTGCTGGGAAAATTGGCTATGTATGTGTAGAAAATTGAAGCTGGACCTATATACTAAAATCAAAATGGATCAAATATCTAAACAGTAAAATAGAAACATTGAATCTACTGGAAGATAAAGTAGGTAAAACATTTGAAGTCACAGGTGTAAGCAAGGACTTTTTTTTTTGTATTAAATTCTTTTATTGGTACATTGTAGGTATACAACACAATTACATTTCTCATTGGGAATTGTACCTTTACATAATGCATCTTGGTTCTTATTTTTTCCCCATTCCTAGCCCTCCCTTCACGCCCTCCACCCTTCCCTATTTACAAAGACTTTATTTCCATTTTTTCCATTTCTCATCATTTTTTCCTTTCCCTTCTTTCCTTTCCCCTGCCCCTCCCACTACCCCTACCCCTTTGGACCTTTTCTTCCTATTTTACATTATCGATTATTCATTCTAATCATTGGTACATTTTAGGTATACAATATAATGACATTCATCATTGGAAATTTGCACCTGTACATAGTCTCTCTTGGTTCTTATTTTTCACCCTTGCCCAGCCCTCCCTTCAACCCCTCCAGTCCTCCCTATTTACAAAGATTTTGTTCCTATTTTTCCATTTTCTCCTATTAATCCCATTCCCTTCTATCCTTTCCCCTAGCCCTCCCACTTCCTTCCCCTTAAGCAAGGACTTTTTGAACACAACTCCAAATACACAAGAAATAATAACAAGAATCAACAAATGAGATTATGTCAAATTAAAAATATTCTGTACAGCAAAGAAATCAATTAGTGAAGAGACAACCTACAAAATGGGAAAAAAATTTTGCCTATTTCTCAGACAGAGGACTAATATTTAGAATCTATAAAGAATTCAAAAAAATTAGATCACTCAAAATAAAAGGCCCAACTAAGAAATGGGCAAGTAAAATGAATAGAGACTTCCCAGAAGAAGAAATATAAATGGTCAACAAACATATGAAACAATGTTCAACATCACTGGCCATTGGAGAAATGCAAATTAAAACAACACTAACATTTCATTTTATACCAGTAAGAATGGCAACCATCAAGAAGTCAAAGAATAACAAATACTGGCATGGGTGTGGTGTAAAAGGAACCCTCCTACATTGTTGCTGGGAATATAAACTAGTTCAACCATTATGGATATCAGTATGGAGATTTCTTTAAAAAACTAAAATTAGAAATTCCATGTTCAACTAGTCCTCCTCTAGGCATCTTCCCCAAAGAGCTAAAGACATCATACTAAGGTAATATATGCACACCAATGTTTATGAACATTTATAATATTTAACACAATTGATAGTAGCTAGGAAACAGCCTCTATGCCCATCAAAAGATGAATGGAACAAGAGTACTGCTTGGCTATAAAGAAACAAACTTGAGACATCTGTAAGAAAAGGGATGCACCTGGAAAATACAATGTTGAGTGAAATAAATCAGACACACTAGCTTAAACATCATATGGCATCTCTCAATTGAGTAAGGCAAAGTACAAAGAGCAAAATAAAGGATGGATAGAAGGAAACAAGGGGATCCATCTCTTGCAATTGGCAAGGGGTCCAGGAGACTGATGAAGAGGGGGAAAGGAAGAAGAGGAAGGAAGAAGATTTATGAAATGCTATGTACAGGTACCAAATACCCACAATGAATGTAAACATAATATGTCACATACATGAACTAAGAATAATAACAAAAATGAAAATGGGATCAGGGGGATTTAGAGGAGGAGGGAGGGAAGAGTGTGGGAAGGGCAAGGGGATTAAAAAAAGAAACAAGCTGTGTTACATACATGCACCTACTCAAGATGAATGTAAACTTCATGTGCTGCAAACATAAACTAATAAAAACTCCCTATCTTAAATACTGTTTTTAAATGTTTGCACAGTAGGAAAAAGGAAGAAATATTCAATTTATAGAACTATGGAAGGAACACTGCCATTTCACATTAATTAAAACAGTGTCAGTATATCCTCAGATTCCTGGTGATCAAGCAAGGAAAGGATTAAAAGAAATTAAACACATAAAATGAACCGTTATTTTTTTCTACTCAAACATACTATATCATTTGGTCACAGTAACTCATAAAAGGTAGATGGAACTGGCTAAGAAGCAGAGAAAGGACCAGGAGGACCAAGCAGAGAAAGGGCCAAGAGAAGACAGGTGGAGTGAGGATGTAGATACTGCTGGTGTACACATAAAAAATATCAAATCTAGGCTGGGGATTTAGCTCAGTGGTTCCACCGCCTGCCTCGCAAGCACAAGGACCCAAGTTTGATCTCCAGTACCAAAAAAAAAAAAAAAAAATCAAATCTCTTCAATCTGGAAAGATCAAGATGAAGAATTTTACAACTCAGAACAAAAAATAACAGAGGGCATAGTTAAGGAAAATACACATTTGGCCTTTAAATCCTGGAATTAGGAGTACACTATGAACCTGAGGGTCTGCTACTCAAGATAAATAAAAAGTGATAGGTTGCTAATTCACTGTATTAGTTACCTTACAGAAATTCCCGCTGTACGAGTGACACATAGAAAAGGGACTCAAAAGGCTTAGAATCAAGATGACAAATTCAAAAGAAATTCTTAGAGGAAACATGTTTGAAAAAAGGCCCTAACATCTTGAGGTAGTATCAGGAGGATACGATTCTTTTTATGATATATCCTTTTGTATCCCTGTTACAACTAAAATCACAGGTTGTGAGGGACCAAAGGTCTGTCCCAGTGTGAATTCTATGCTACTGAGAAGCACAATGATCACCTTGGACCATACAACAAATCCAATCATTACCTATGTATGTATAAACATATAGAATCTAGATGAAAGAAATCAATTCTAAGGGTACTTATCTCAGGAGATAACGGGTCCATACAAGAGCCCAGTCAGGCAGGGCTACGGTGCTTTTTATGACACAGTCTTTATTATTTAAAAATTATAGATTCCTCTACTCTAAATTGACAGTTATTTTCCAAACTGTTACAGAGTTCTAATACAAAGGCTGGGACTGAACACATTAAGAAATTAGTATGAACATGTCCAATTCTGGTCCTGATAGTGAATTAACTTTCCCTGAGAAATTTCCCAGATTGTATGTGCCGTCTCTCCCCAGTGTTCCTCTTCCTTGGCAGTGAGGGGTCAGGCTCAGAATGAAGGTAGGAGACCAAAACTTTGAAAAGGCATCCCAGAGTTAGGAAACTCCCCACTCCTACCCCAGAGAGAGCCACTGGTGGCAGTCACAAAGAAAAATCCTGCTCTTTTTCATTCCATCTTCTTGATCATGTGGGCTTCTGTCAAGAATTTTCTTTTTATTAAGCATGGTTATTCCCTAGTTCATTACATTGCACTGATAAGTACCATCTTAAATACAACTGTCAGAACTGTCAGAACTTCTTTCTGTACATGCTGGACATGTTCCCTGTCTGTGCTCCTCAGTACGGTCATCACTGGTCACATGTGCCTACTGAATGGTTAAAATGTGATGAAGGGGCTTGGAGTCCCGCCTTCATCTGGAGCTTTTCTCTGCAGGTTGGCCAAGCATGAGCCTCCTCAGCTGTGTTCTGGTTCCTGCCCACGGCACAGTGAGGTCCCGGGAACGGCTTGGAGCCCCACCTTGATCCCGTGCTCCTTAGACGCGCAGGCACTTGCAAGGCCCAATTCCACACACACACACACACACACACACACACACACACACACCCCGCCTTCTGGCTCTTCTGCTACCTGGTCCCTCACTACAGAGGCACAGGGGATTATACTTCACATAGTTAAATGTGATAAGATTAATAACTACCACAAATTATCATTTTCTAAGCTG